TATAGTAAAATATACATCACAAAATTTCCTATTTTCAACACTTTTAAGTGCACAGTCGTGTGGCACATTCACATGTTGTGTAACCACCTTCACAGCCTGTTACCAGAAACTCTGTATCACTCTGAGCGGAAACTCTGCCCGCCTTACACAGTCACCCCCCACTGGCCCACCCCTCCAGGCCCTGGCACCCACTCCAGAGGCCCCTGGATATGCAAGTGTCCCCGGTTTTCTTCAGGCCTGTGGCTGGGGCTGTCCTGCCCCTGGTCACTCACTGGTCAGTTCTTAGGGATCTGAGTTTGAAGCAGCATCTGTGCCCATCTCCACCACAAACAGATTCAGTGTCCAGCCCCAAGTGGGGGGTCTCGTATCTGGGGTCCACCCCCCACCCCACAGGCCTCTGTACTGGAAACCCAGTCTCACCACTTTGGTTTTATTTATTTTTTTTAAGATTAAAAAAAAATGTGGATCACATTTTTAAAAGCCTGTATTGAATTTGTTCTGATACAGTCTCTGGTTGGTGTTTTGATTTCTTGGCTGCAAGGCAAGTGGGATCTTAGATCCCTGAGTGGGAATCGAACCCACACCCCCTGTGCTGGAAGATGAAGTCTTAACCACTGGACCACCAGGGAAGTCCCTCAGTCTCACTGCCTGGACCTTGAATTTCTCAATCTGAGAATTTCTGTCTTTCTTTGGAACCCAGTTAATTCCGTTGTGTTTATAACCCAGAGCGGGGGTGTCTGTGTCCACCAAGTTCACTGCTGTTGCTAAAATCCTCCACCAGCCCCCGCTGCCTTCCAATTATGGAGCAGGAACAACACAGCCTGCCTCCCCCTCCTGCTCAGGATGTGAGCGGAGGCTCTTGGGGCCTCTGTTTGGACAAGTGAATACCGTATCTATCCAGCCATCAAGTCAGGCAAAACCTTCGGAGGATTCCAGGGCTGAACATGCACTCTGGATGTTGCCCGGGTGACAATCACGTCTTAACTGGCCTGTTTCTTTACCAAGTTTTACATTAAGTGCTTCAGAGCATTTGTGTTGCTATTGCGAACCTCTGCTCAGAGCTCTCTGGCAGCCAAGCTCTCCCCCGGCTTATGCAAATATAAATCCCCCTCCCCACCAAAGGCAGCACCCCTACCACGTGACCGCAAGTGACAGAGACAGCAGGCTCCATGAAGCTCTGGGTTCTTCAACCATCTGGAGCCGGCAGGCCTGGAGGTCAGGATCAGGTTGGGGGCAGCCTCTCTGCTGCCCCCAGAGCCTTAACTCAGCTCCCTTGTGGCTGAGTCGGCATGTCCCTTTGGACGGAGGGGAACTGTGAAGGCTTCTTGTGTTTTCAAAACATGCATGTATCACAGATGTTCAGCAAAGTATGGGGTTGGTGAAGACGTGAAAGGATCAGAATTCTCACCGGCTGCAAGTGAGAATTGGTGCAGCTCTGGGGTTGCCTCCCAGGATGGGGGCTGTTACCCTTCCTGCAGGTTCCTGCTGGTCAAGGGAGTTGCGTCTCCCTCCCATGCATGTGTGTGTGCTAAGTCACTTCAGTCGTGTCCGACTCTTTGCAACCCCATGGACTGTAGCCCGCCAGGCTTCCCTGTCCATGGGATTTTCCAGGCAAGAATACTGGAGTCAGTGGCCATTTCCTTCTCCAGGAGATCTTCCCCACCCAGGGGTTGAACCTGAGTCTCCTGCATTGCAGGCAGACGCTTTACCCTCTGAGCCACCAGGGAAGCCCCAGATTGGTGGCTAACTATATAGCCTAATTATCAACCAGAAGATTTTTATAATTTCAAGTATCAGTTCAGTTCAGTTGCTCAGTCGTGTCGGACTCTTTGTGACCCCATGGACTGCAGCATGCCAGACTTCCCTTTCCATTACCAACTCCCGGAGTTTGCTCAAACTCATGTCCATCAAGGTGGTGATGCCATCCAACCATCTCATCCACTGTCGTCCCCTTCTTCTCCTGCCTTCAAACTTTCCCAGCATCAGGATATTTTCCAATGAGTCAGTTCTTCATAAATATATTCACACTTTATTTGAATTTCATGCAAATTTCAAATTTATTCACACTTTATTTGAAAAACAGCTCCCCAACTGCGTGACAGAACTTTGCATACTGCCCTCTCAGGTAAGTGGAGTGGGCGGAGGAGGGGGCTGCAAGGCTCAGGGAACCCTAACTGCTGGGATTGGCGCCCCAAGCCCAGTAGACAACAGCTGCGTTTCTCCTTCCCAGGTCGCTGCCCAGGACCTGGAGGATAGGACTGTGGAGGCAAGTCCCCTTGCAAAGCACAGCCAGTGGGGACCCGCCCATATCAGCATCATCCCTTTTACTTCCTCCTCCTCTCCCTTGGAGAGGTCACGGCCTCCAGATCCCCGCTCCCTTGCTGGGCCCAGATGGTGACCATGCCACCCTGCCCTGGCACTTCCTCCCGGGAGGCCATGCGATGAGCAAGGATGAGCCCATGTGAGCGGGCGGCCAGCAGCATTTCCACAGGGCTGTTTGACAGCCGCCCGTACCGTTACTCCCTGTTACTGCGGGGACCTCGGTGATGGCAGGGGCAGGGACCTGCCGAGGGCTTCTTGTTTATAAAGTTCACTTGCGCTGGGAGGGAGGGGACATATGTATACTTGTGGCTGATTCACCTTGTTGTGTGGCAGAAACCAACCCATTATAAAGCAATTGTGTGTGTGTGTGCGCTCAGTCATGTCTGACTCTCTGCGACCCCATGGACTCCTCCGGACTCCTCCTCCCCAGGCTCCTTTGTCCACGGAAATTTTCCAGGCGAGAATACTGGAGTGGGTTGCTGTTTCCTTCTCCAGGGGATCTTCCTGGCCCAGGAATTGAACCCGCATCTCTTGCCTCCCCTGTACTGGCAGGCAGATTCTTTACCACTGCGCCACCTGGGAAGCAATTATCCTCAATTAAAAACAATAAAGTTCACTTGAAGATTTTAGCTGTCTCTGAAGAGCTGGTTTGAACAGGGCATTCCAGGTGCATCATCTCAAGTCAGTGGTTGGAGTTTACAACGCCGTCTGCTTACAACGTGTATTGCCATGTTACATATGCTGGGTGCCCTGGTCCCCACAAGCCCAGCTCCCTGGCAGGCACGTGCAGCCAGCAGCGTGGGGTGCAGGGCGTTCTTTATCCAAGAAGGAAGGGGTGGGTACAACCCTGCACCGCCCGCCTCCCCCAGTTTCCCGCCTGTATCCTCACTGGAGAAAAGTTGTCTGGTTGATCTAAAGGATCTCAGGAATCTCTGTGTTTAGCCTCAAAAAAAAAAAAAAAAAAAATTAATACAGTAGGGGGAAAAAGAAATCACAAATGCTGTCCCTTCAATGGGAACCAAAATCAGCACATGGGAAGAGTCACAGACTCACCCAGCAAGTAACAGCTGTCCCAGCGCCCCTCCGAGAGGACAGCGGCCACTGTTCTATAGTCGGCAGGGGGGGGGGGTGCCTCCAAGATCTCAGGCTGGGATGCGACTCCCAACAGCCACGCTGGCCGGCCTCTGTCTCCCCAGCTGGGGTCACTGGTGGCTTATTCAGAGGCGGCTTTGATATCAAAGGAATGGCTTATTCAACCCAGAGGTAAGAGTTTGTGAAGAGCAACCCCATGACAGGAGGATGCCCGCGTGAAGGCAGCCGCCAGACCAGCCCTTCTCATCAGAACACGCCTGTGAGCCGCCTCCGTCCCGCCGCTTGCAGGCTGACCACCGCTGCCCACAGCGTCACTCCACTGCCTCGGGGGCCCCAGGGGCACAGACCTGCTTAATGCCGCCACCATCTCTCAGATGAGGCCAAGACTTCCAGCAGAAAGGAGCACAGAACTCATTCCACAAAGGACAGAAATCAGTCCTGCAGGAGCAGTTTCTGTGAGTTCAGTCGGGCTGCAGGCTTCCGATACTCTGTTGTAATATTCTAGGTGGAGTTACAGGGCATTCGAATATGGTACAAATGAGATGTATGGCAGACAATGAATCAATGGGAAAAAAAACCAGAACTGCACAGGTTTTACTTTCTTAACATAGTTATAAAATGCTGCCAGCCAAGGCTTTCCAGTTGAGCTTGGTTTGGTATGGAATGTAATCAGTACGCACACCTGTGGCTTACACACGTACAGTCTCATACACACACACACACAAGCTCACGCCCCATACATATTGGCTGTGCCCACAACAGTCTCACCGATAAAGAAAATATAAGAGGGAATAATTCAATTACATCTCAGTAAAGAAGGAAAATACAGGGGTGAGGAATCACGACAGTCTCTTTAAAACTCAGCTTCAAAAAGGTTTAATTCTCCTAAATTAAAGACTTCTCTGGTCAGATACCTTAGAGAAGGCTGAGAGCCAGTCAGGCTTCAACATCCAATTATTTTTTGTGCTTCGCAAAATCCACAAAGTGAAAAGGCAGAACACGGGCCAAGGGTTTTGACCTGGGTACGAACTAAAACACACAGCAGTGAAATCTGCTTGGTGATTAGCGATCACTATATATTTTCAGTAAGAAATAAGTTAGTCACAGAGAGAATCCTGTATAAAGGGCCTCCCCGTCCCGCCACCGTCAGGATGCCAACGGCTTGCATGCACTGCTTTCACGTTTCTGACACCATCAACCCCAGCCCGAGTTTGCAGCCGCCCACCTTGAGTTTAAGGGTGATTAAGTACACTTGTAAAATAATGTATTTGGGTTTTCAGCTGTGCTACCTACAGTGTCACATTTAAAACCAGAGAGCCCATCATTCCTGCATGCAGAGAGGGGCTACAGAGGTTCCGGGGCGGGGGGGCGGGAAGAGGGGACAAACACCAGCCCTGCGCCCGGGCGTGGGCAGCTCTGAACTCGCGCACCACGGCCGGCCTGCCGGCGGGACCTGGCCAGCGCGACGGCCCCGTGGATGGCCGTCTGTTTCCCTTGGCTGAGCAGGGACGGGGGCATGTGCAATCTCGTCTCCATGTGGTCCCTGCTGGCCATGGGGGAGGCAGAAGCTCTGCTCTCCTCTCCAGACGGACCTGTGAGCGGGCCAATCTTGCCGCTCCGTCCTGGGCCCGGAGCCCCCGCAGAGGGCAGGGCTGGGAGCTCCAGGTGGGACCAGCAAGGCAGGAGTTCGCGTCCCCGTCTCGGCCGGGACGGTGCCGGCCCCAGGGCCCCGGTGAGAAACGCAGCCACAGGGGCGGCGCTCCGCGCCGAGACCCGCCTGCGCCTCCTGGTGTCCGGGAGCGAGAAGGGCGGAGGGGACGGACGGGAACCGCACAGAACCTGGTGTGTGAACGCAGTTTATACCCGTTCCCACCAGCTTTGTGCTCGGGACCCGGAACCGAACGAAAGCAACGCATCCGGCCCCGCGAGAACGGTTTCTGTTTCCGTGTGGACTGGGTGCCCGGTCGAGTCACCCTCCACCAGGGCAGAGAGTTGGGGATCGCCCGCGGTCCCGTCCGGAGCCCGGCGCTCCAGGCCCCCTGCCCGCAGGTGGTAGAACCGGGGGGCTGAATTCATTCCTGCTTTATTGCAGGTTCAACCCAACACTTGGCTCCCATCATTTAGAAAGTGAAGGGTGTGGCCCTGATCCACAGGAGTCCACTGGGTGAGCCTCCCAGCGGCGACAAATGATCCTATTTTAAGTTTGTAAACTGTGACGTAAGAATTCACGCTGGTGTAGAGGTCGGGGTTCAGCCGAGCCCCTTCTCGTCCGTGCTTCCAGCATGGTAGCAGGGGTCCCGCCGCTGACCACTCCGCCCCTCTGCTTCCTGTCCGAGCCCCTTGTAGGACCCCAGACCGCATGCAGCGGAGCGGGGTGGGCAGCAAACACCCATCCACCCTTTGAGTTCTTCTCAACCAGGGCCCCTTCTGGCAGCGCACAGGTTACGCCGACCTGGGTGAGCAGAGGGTTCTCACATCCGAGAAGACGGCGCCTGGGCTGGCAGGGCCCCTGGGCTGGCAGGGCCTGTCATCCACTGGGATGGCTGACCCCAAAGACGAAACCACACGCCTGTGACAAGAGAAAGCTGGCACAGCAGATCCGAGGCCCCCAGACATCCGAAGGGGGCTCACCAGCAAGGCTGGGACCTGTTGATAGGGAGGCAGCTCTCGCCCCGATGATTCAGGCCCCAGAGCGGCCACGTGCGGTCTCCACACCAAAGGTGCCACCGAGGAGCCGGATGCCGAGCTGGTTCCAGAGATAGAAGGCGGGGCTGCAGGTGTGGCCGGGTGGACGGGACTGCGGGCTGGCCCCCCATCCTCACTCAGGGCACCGCGGAGGCCTGGGTTCCAGACCCTTCGCCAAGGGTCCCACTTCATCAGGGACCCGGGACGGACGTGCCGAGGCTCTGGGGAGGGGGAAGCTGACTCCATCCTCCCCCTCCCCTCTCACACAGCACTTCACATCGTTGCAATAAGCTGTGTTATCTGCAGATTTCTGCTGCAGACGCACCCAGGGCACCTCAGAGCCAACCAGTAGGCAAGTGGCCTGAGTTGTGGGGACTGGCCCCGGTACCAGGGCGCTGGAAGCGGGTGGTCAGTTACACTGCTCGACGGCTATGACCCAGGTACACGCACAGCCTGGCACGGACACCGCAGACCCGTCCTCTGCTCAGAGGCAAGGTGGACACGCTGCCGCTGCTCTCCCACTCGCATCCTCACTGTTGCTGTCCGAAGCATCCAGAACCGACTTTGGCACCATCGACTCCAGGCAAAAGTCCCTTAGAACTTGAACGGCTACGCCTCTTGGTTTGGAATGCAGAGTGTGAGGTATACGAGGTTGTCTGGATTCTGTAGAAATGAGAGGGGAAGCCAGGCACACACTGGAGTCTGTGACCACAGTCTCTCGTCACTCGTGCTGAGCCGTTTTGGAAGATGCAAACAGAAAGGCACAGATCACCCTTTAAGTGGGGGCATCACAGCCGGCCGCCTCGCCCCGCCTCTGACTCAGGTGGGCAGGACCCCAAGGACAGGGGCAGTCCAGGTAAGAGCACAATTTGGGTGCCCATCCCACCTGATTTCTGAGCTTTATGGACAAAAGAACACCTACAAATGTCCCTTAGACAAACCCACAGCCCACACATATAGCTGTTCGACAGGAAGTTTACAGCCAAGACCAGGCAGTCTGAGTACGTGACATCCCTTGGCTCCGGTGCTCCCAGGCATCTGTCTTTCAAGCCCATGGGCTGTCAGAAGGAAAGGTGTTCAGTTTTCAGGAAGAACCTCTTTCTCTTAACACCGACCCGGAAAACAAGACTAGAAACGGGAGTCTACCGCAGAAGAAATCCCAAAAGAATCCAATTTGGAAAGAATTTAATTAACAAAATAAAACGGGGAGGGGGGGAGAAATGGTCCCGGAGGGGCTCCAGGGAGAGAGGACCCCCCAAGGCCGCCGCCCGGCCCGCCTGAGCAGGACCAGAAGCGTGCTCGCCACGCCGCCTTCTCGGCCCTTGCCTCTCTGTACAGACGGAAAACCCCAGACGCCTGCAGGCTGTTACGAGCGGGCTCGAGAGCTCCTGGCTGGCTTGGCACATGAATACATGCAAAGCAAAAGTGTTTCGAGGGCTTCACCAAACAGTTGATTTTGGCAAAAAAAGAGAAAACCAACGAAAAGCTAAAAATTCATAAGCAGGATTAAAAGCCACTGAAGTGAAAACAATGTATTTCTCAACAGTATGGAATGAGCCTACAGCTACAATCTTTTTTTTTCCTTTTTGCTTTAGAAGTCTCTGCCATCCTCTCCCCAGCTCGAGTCAAAGTTCATAGCAGCATGACTGTGAAGTCCTCTGTCAGCCAGTGTCCTCTGCCTCGGGGCCGAGGAGGTCGCAGGTCGCGGTCAGTCCGTCCGCAGAATCATGGGGGGGTGCTCGCTGTCGTCCTCCAGCCGTAGGGCGCTGGCCTCGTCCTCCAGCCCCGAGCCGCCCGCGGCACCCAGCTCGTCCGTGTAGGCTGCGGAGAGAGCGGCGCCTTAGGCAGGCCGAGCCCCCGGAGCAGGCCCCTCGGGGAGGCCAACGCCCCCCCAGCTGTGGGCAGTCCCCACAGGCAGGCCGAGCCCCCCCCTGAGCCGGCTCCTCGGGGAGGCCGACCCTGAAGCAGGACCCGGGCCAGCAGGGAGCTCACGCCCACTGGACGCGGAATTCTCACCTCCACCCTGACCAGCGAGCTCTCTACAGCCCTGAGCCACCCAAGAGAGAGCTGCCTTCCCAAGACCCACAGGGTCAGGAAGGAGCTGGGTGCCCACGTGGACCCAGGGGACAGGCTGCAGAGGGCCCTCCGGGGTGGGGTGGGGGTGCCCAGAACTGGGATAAGGATGCTCAGAGCCTCCTTGGAGCACACGCTGCCTTCGCCTCGGGTTGAAACAGTGAGCGAGAGTGCGGCGGGCGGAGCCAGCGACCACACATGCCCGGGGTGGGGCCCGGGCGGCCTGGGGGAGCCAGCCCCCTCCTGCTTGCTGACCCGGGCCGCAGGTGGGCGAGTCAAGACCAAGGGTTTTGGGCAGAATCTGAGCTGAGTGGGGGCAGGTGGTGGACAGTCCACAGGCACCTAGCGCCAGAGAGCTACTTTTGTCTCAAAGATGAAAATGGACTCAGCCTCGAGGAGGCCTTTGAAACCCCGCTTTACAACAGCAGGCCTGAGCCTGCAGGCCCCGCCCCCGAGTGCAAGAGAGCCGAGCTCTCAGGCTCCGCCCCCAGGCTCGGCCCAGCCCTTACCCAGCGCTGTGGGGGACAAAGGCGCGTGCGGGCCCTTGGCCGCGGCTGCGCTGTACGCCTGCGTCACCAGGGGGCAGTCCTGGGACGTGGAGTCCAGGATCTCGTTGGTTGTCTCCATGCTGCCGTCCAACCTGGACGAGGACAGAAAAACCAGCAGGGACAAGTCAGGGCCATGCCGGGGCCGCCTGGGAGGGCCACGCGTGACGCTGCGCTGACCCGCGCGGTGACTCCCCCGAGTGTAGTCCCCGGGATTTCCACACGCTCAGTCTGATGGAGAGAGCTGGACCTAGAGAGGCAACCCCACTGCGTTTCCTGAGACTGAAGACCAAACCAGAGTATGCTGTAAAATAACAAAATCACCCCCATGTTCGCCCTGATTGTAAGAGTATTAGGGTACCACTGTTTAAAGACAGAAAACCCAACGGCACTACATCCCAATTAACTAACATTTATTCCTTCTCTTCAAAGAGAACAGCAGCGTCTCAGCAAGATCCCAGGCCCCTGGAGAACCCGCCCCACATCACAGACAGCACCCTGGGGTTGCTGCTTCTGTGCACGACGCTAAGCTTCGTCCTCAGCGGTCCTGCCCCAAGTCACACCCCCCCCACCCCACAGGAAAAGTGCACCCCAGCCACTCTGATCTCTGCCGGGTGCTGAGCCGGGCGTGGGCAGAGGCATGGAGGGTAGGCTCGCACCCACACCAATGGGTGGTTGTGCAGACCCGAGCCTCTGGGTCCCTGGCTTTGGGAAAACGAGCAAGTCGCCCTTGCCCACAGGGGCCCCCTCCCGCCTGGCAGAGGCGCAGCCGACTCACTGGTGCTGCTTCATGAGGGTGCATTCGCCACCTTCCTGGGGGTCCAGGTTGTACATGTACAGGTACCCGTCCGAGGCGCCCACCAGCAATCGGGGAATCTTCTGGATCCTAGAGAGGATAAAAAGCAACCAAGTTCTAGATCTGAAACTTCCACAAAGTTCCTATTAAACTAACAGCCTGGCCTTTAGCCGGGCCAGGGAAGAACGCCCCGCCCCAAATGAGCGAGTGTAGTTTCGTGCACACACACAGTCCACACACGAAGATAAAGAGCCTCGGGCCTCGTGAGGCTGCCCGTGCTGGAGGCCAGGGCTTAGGAACTGGCCCTCTCACGCGGTTCTGAACTAACGATGCTCTCCAAATGTTCCCAGCAACAACGGGAAGAGGAGGCGTGGAGGGTCAGACGCTGTGGGGGCGGGCATCTGGGTTCCCTAACAGCGTACAACCTACGGCCCCCTCCGCGTCCCCATGACTCTGGTCTAAACCAGAGGGCCAGGTGTGCAGGTCATCCCCGGTGGCCTGGGACCCCGCTCCCGGCTGGATGCATGGGACAGAGGCAGCCCCCCGCCCCCAACTCACGTGGCCAGCGCGCAGATGTTCTTGTGGCCACAGAAAGGCAGGCGCACCGTGGCGAAGGCCCTGCCCTGGTTGAACATCTCTGTCACTTGGGAGGGCAAGTAGCTGGTGGACGCCATGAGCACCTTCCCGAAGTAGCCGGTCCAGGTGGTGGGCTCCTCCTGAGGCCTGGGAAGAGGAACGCCGTCAGACACACGCCGGCCCTGGGCTGAGAACGACCACGCGCCCCTCACGCGGAGGCGAGGCTCAGCCCCGAGACTCGAGAGAAGGCTCCCAGGCTCGCGGGGACCCTGGGGATGTCACAGACTGTCCTTGGAGGGTCCGCAGAGGGGCCAGGCAACGACCGGCCCCTGCTCTGTTGCTGACGACACGAGGCCCACGTCCAGGACCCCCGCATCTTTCTATTAGGACGTCTCCAGCCAACCGTGCACTCCCGCAGCCCATCCCTGCTGTGTTTACCCTGTAGAGACGTGTGAGTCACCCCATAGGCCCCTTAGGGTGAGACACAGCACAGATAACAGCACTGATCCTGGTGGGAGGCTCGCCAGAGACGCTAAGAGATGACAACGCAGAACCATGCCCTTTGCCACACACACCGCTGCAGTCACACGTTCTTTACATCAACCGCTGCACAAACGGAAAATGCCTCTGGGCAGGAGGGAGGCAAGTGCCCCCCCGCCCCAGGGTGGTCCCCCAAGACGTGCCATGGGGGTAAGCATTGGGGGCAACCACCCTCTGCCGCCACACCCAGCAGGCCCCCTTCGAACCCCACCCACCCCGCCGCTGAGCCCCCACGAGCCCCCCGGACAGCATTCCCGCTTCCGCCCGTCGGTGGACAGAGGGTCCCGTGTCCCTCTCAACGTCTCTGCGACTCACTTTTCTTTCACAGTCTCGAGTTTGAAGATGTGCACAGTCTCAGTGTTGCTGGAGGCGGACAGGAACATGCCATCCATGCTGAAGGCCAGGGAGCAGATGCTCACACACCTGGGGCGAGAGGGACAGGGTCGGTCACGCTGCTGCCCGGACGCGGAGGGCAGACGGCAACCAGCATCGCTGCCCCTCCGGAAGGGAAGTCACAGCGAAGGAAGGTTCCTGTGACAGGTGCAGGAGGGTCTTGTTCCTTTCTAGTCACCTTCTCAAACCATGTGAGGAAGGAGAGCGTCTGAAAGCTGACACCCTGACCGAGCCGTCCTTTAACAGGTCCTCACGTGGCCACGTAACGAAAGGAATCAGGGCTTCGCTAAATCATTTTTGGCAGAATCAGGCTAGACTTACAGCACTAAGCTTAGCAAAAGAAACCTAATCATTGAGATTATAGCAATTCTTAACATGGAAAAGCATGAACTGGAGACCTTGGTAACGTTTAAGAATAAACTTCTGACATCCTGAAACCAGTTCTCTTTAAAACATCACTGTAGAAATCCAGCGCCTGTGTTTCCTCAGAGCCCTGCAACCACAAGGTGCACTGAGCCCTGTCCCTAGGGAGGGGCTCTGCACCACGTTTCTGGAGCTCACAGCGCACGGGCACGTGCGAAGGCGCGGATGTGGCTCCCGCCTAGAGGAGCCTGGAGGCGGGGGCCCGGGGCTCAGCGCAGCCAAGAGAGGGCTGAGCAGCGAAGGGAAGACGCTGCAGACACTGGGGGAGAGGTGGGAGGGGGCGCTCGACCGGCGGGAGGGCGCAGGAGCCGGCAGGTCACGGCCAGGGCCCACGTGGAGACAGCTCCTCTGAGGAGCTGGGAGAGATGGGGCAGGGAGGTGCACCACAGCAGGAAAGCAAGGAGTCCTGCGTGTGGCGTGAACCCAGGGACAGGGGTGCCCCAAGAGGCTCCCCGCAGGGCTGCCCCCATCTGTCACACTCCCCCGTGGAAGAACAGCCAGTGGGCTCAGGCCTGAGGGCCAGAACCTGGCGAACATGAGCTGAGGCCACAGTGAGCGCAAGGCCAGGTGGAGATGCCTGGGGCAGGCGAGGTGGGTGGCGGGGCGGGCGCCCCCCCGGTTCAGGCGCCAGGAGGGCAGGGCTGTTCCCTGGGACACGCTGTGTGCAGCACAGTGGGCCGTCGGGGCCATGCTCTGGCCACTGGGTGGAGGGCCCAGTAGGCGGGAGAAACGTGGGAAACCTCGGCAGGTGGCCTGGGGACACGGAGGCATCCCCGGGCACAGACAGACGCCGTGGCTGAGGACGGAGGGGTGGGCTGCCCAGAGCGGGGCCGGGGAGGCTCAGGGCAGAAATGCAGACACAGGGGCGGGAGCAGCAAAAGAAAAGACCCGGACAGGCGAGTGCGAGGAAAAGCAAAGGAAAAAGGAAGGAGAGAGACAGGAGGCAGGGGACAGGGAGGCCGGCAGCCCGAGATCGCCCGTGGGAGCCCTGGAGAAGGCGGCTCCAGGTCCCACGGGTCAGGCCCCACCAGGCAGGGATGTGGATGTCATGACAGAGGGCGGCTGCACTCTGCTGTTTCTTTAGAAAAACACTGTGAGGCCAGAGCCAGCTGCTGGTCGGAGCGGGGCTGCAGGAGCTGCTTAAGGGTTTTCAGAGTCGAGGAGAAGGGGAGGAGCCGCTGACCAGGTCAGGAGCCCCGCGCCCACTCAGCGCGGGCCCAGCTGGGCAAGCTCCTCCTTCCACAGCCCGGGCTATTGGGCCATGCAGCTCGGCACTCAGGGCAATCACAAACAACAAAACATAGCTGCCTCTGTAACAATGCCCCTTGACCTCCCACAAGACCCCAAGCCCCTCCTGCCCCGCCAGCTGAGCTGAGATTGCTGGTGGCTAGACGGGGGTCCCCAGGGCTTAAGTGCCCACTGCTGGTCACAGAGAACATGAAACCAAATTGCAAAGAGATGCTCCAGATTCCATTCTGGACACTTGCACACATTACCTCTTCACTCCTCTCCGGAACTCAAAGAGTTTCTGTCCTTCTGGAATGGAAAACACCCTAATCACGGTCCCCTGCAGCAGGGAGAAGAAGACAGAAAAAGGAAGTTGAGCTGAGTGGAACCAGACTCAGGTCTTTCGCTCTTTGGACGTTGGCGGACGGGCGCCGACAGCTGTCCCAGCCACATGACCCCGAGTCCTGCACCCCGTCCCTCGCCGGCACCGTCAGAGTACACCCTGTTCCGCTGGTCACACGGTGAGACACCGTCACTGCTCATCCTAACGCTGAGGGCCCTGCAGTCACAGCTGCGGCGCTCCCCGGCAGGACGGCTAGCACACCCCGGCCCAGCATGCTTCAGCCACCGCGCTCGCTCGGCTCAGGCGCGCGTGGCTGTGGGCACATGGGCCTGGCTGTGAGCGGTGGGGACAGACGTCGCTCTGGGGGCCGGGCTGTGTGAACTGCGGTGGACGAGCTGGCGGGACTCCGAGTTTGCACGCAGCCGCCTTACCTTCTCGGAAGCAGTGGCGAGTTTGGTTCCGCTGGCGTCGAAGGCCAGGGCGGCTAATGGGCTGTCGTGAGCCGGGATCATGTTCGCAGCTCTCTGGAGGGGAGGGGAAAGTGACCCGTGACCACTGTGACTGCGAGTGACCCCTGCTGCCTGTGAAGTCATGTGCTGAGAATGCCCACAGCTGTTATGAAAACCCCTGCATGGCTGACACAGACGCCAAGTCCACCCGATTAACCAGGGGCTGGGGAAGGGGCACGGAAATGCCACCCAGAGCCTTAAAGGAGAAAGCGAAGCAACGTCCCCACAGAGGCTCTGTCGCTTCCTCCGTTCCCTCCGGCACACATGCTGCCGACTGCTCAGCACGGGGACGGGGGACGGAAGCACAGCTGGAGGCAGAATGACCCAACCCGCTCGGCCACCAGGAGGCTGCGTCGGGAATCGAGCTGCTGAGCCGGAGAACAAGGAGGCTGGAGGCACCGACCCTCGCCTGAGGAAGGAGGGGCATCGCACCGCTCCCCAGGAGCCTCACCAGGTTGATGGTGTCGAAGACCTGCACCTCCCCAATGGTGGCGCTGCCCGGATAGGCCAGGTAACAGTTGTCGTTGTTGATGGACAGTGCACACAGGCCTGTGGGCAACACACGAGGACAAAGCGGGTCAGATCGGGGCCCCCGGGCTCCACCAGCAGCCGGCACGTGCTCAGCGAGACGGGGAGGCCACGAGCTCTGATGCAACCTGGGTGGTCGCATCGCTGGGGTTTTTAAGTTCCAAGCCCCCCGCCACGCCCCGCAGGTGACAGCAGGACTGCTCAAATGCACTAAGGCCATGGCTGGAACTGATCAGAAACCCCAAGGCTGCAGGCTGACAGAGCCCATGACTCATGCGGTCACGAGACTAGCATCAGAAGGACGGCAGCTGGCTCTAAGAGCAACACTGTCTCAGCCTGTGGAACCTAAGAGAGAAAACTCTCACGGGCAGAGAGCTCTGAACGGCAGCGGTGCCCTGCCCTGCTCACCAGTGGGGTTTGGGGGCGTCTCTCGGATGGTGTGCAGCACCTTCATGTCCCGGATGTTGTGAATGTAGAGAGACTCCTCCAGGCACACGATCAGCCTCTGCGAGAGACGCGGACACGGAAACAGGACGTGAGGGAGAGCCAGACCCCGAGCCCCAGTTAGGGCCTCCTGCACCGGACACCACGCTCCTTCCGGAACCCCGCGTGTGCACCACGCTCCAGGCCCCGCCCATCACCACGCGTGCACCATACTCCAGGCCCTGCCATTACCGCATGTGCACTGCACTCCAGGCCCCGTCCATCACCGCGTGTACACCGCGTGCGCCAGGCCCCGCCCCCACCCCGCCCCCACGCCCCTCAGTCCCCTGGAGCTGAGCCCCCGCCTACGACTCCCTCCTCCAGTTAGAGAGGACCTCTAACTGTGCGGAGTAATTGAGCATGGCAGAAAGTGGTCCCTAGCTAAGAAAACTGGGGTTTGATTTTGTTTCGCTCTTGGCCCTCCCCTCACGAAAACCAGGTCGAGAGGCTGGGGTCACTCTGGTGAAGGCCTGCTGCTTTGAGAACCTGATGCTAAGTGAGGCTGAGTAAACCGCAGCCACGTGGCCATCCCGGGCACTACCTCAGGTCCTGGCCACCAGGCCCACGCTTCAGGCCAGACATCCTTGTGGGTTTTGGGACATAAACCAGACATAAAAAGGTAGTAAATCCTTCACCTTTAGTTAAAAGTTAAATTAACAGTTAAAAAAGGGATAAAGAATTCCTTGGCAGTCCTGTGGTCAGGTCTCTGCTTTCAGTGCTAAGGCCTGGGTTCAATCGCCAGTCAGGGAACTAAGATCTGATAAGCCACACAGCATGGAAAGAAAAAAAAGATGCTCAGAGGTTTTTTAAAAAGGTAACTCTTATAAAAAAAGGTTCATGTCTTAAGGGATGGGTAAAGCTAATGGCACTAGCCAGGGCATCACCAGGAATGGGGCAGGGGGCGGGCCGCAGTCTGAGCAAAACCGCTGAGAGGAGCGAGCAGACCCGAGCCTGGGCGGGCTGAGAGAGGAACAGAGCGGCCGGAATCCGCCCGAGGCCCGGCGGCCGCCTCCCAGGTCACTGGAACAGCCTCGCAGCCCCGAGCCCCCGGGGCCCGGGGCGGCGAGCGGGAGCGCCGCCCACCTGCCTGTTGAGCTTCACGGCCAGGATGGTGTTGGAGTAGCTGTAGTTGCAGATCTCGGTCCCCTTCTTAAAGTGGCAGACCTTTAGCTTCCTGGGGGCCTTGAGGCTGACGATGGCCACCAGGCTGCTCGAGAACAGTCTCTCCACGAGGCACACGTCTTCCGTGTCAGCTGACAGGAGGGAGAAAGCACACCCACGTGAGCGTGGATCCCTGTCAACTGGCGCCAGGGGTCCCCGCACATGAACATGCGTCTAAGGGCAGGCTCCCTGCGGAGACTCGGGGGCAGGTGGGGGCGGGGGGCAGACCCCCAGGTCAAGTTCATGGTTTACAAGGCCCAGGTGAGCTGCCCGCAGGTCGCCCCACACTCTGAAAGGAGGGCGGGCTCCTCAGAGACCCTCAGCTCTCAGCCACAGGGCAGGCCCCCCATTCCACATGGGCCGCACCTGACACACGACGGGCCCCCATGCGCTCCTGCAGGCTCCGGGCTTACGGACCCCAGCGTGGTCTGCTCCCCGCCCCTTAGGTCCTGCGCCCACTCACATGGGGACACCCCCACTCAGAAGACTGTGCCTAGAAACTGCGTGTGTAGCGACCCGCCCGGAAAACAGGGGCACAGTGGACTCTCCACAGCTGCCACCTCACCCCCAGCTCCCTCAATCCCCAGTGGGTTTACTTGTGGTCACCGGGGTCAGTTCAGGGGAGGAGCAAAGAGCATTCTGGAGGGCAGGACTCTGGATGATTCCCAGCTGTCTGGACCTGAGCTGCAGCTGAGCTGGGGTTAAGCAGCGGCCCGCTGATCGTCCTAACAATGGCCCAAGGCCACATTTTACTCCATGAAGTCCTGAGCTCAGAGGACGGAGAACTAGATGGGTCACAACCCGGGGACCTGCAGGGCCTGAGTGCACTGTGACCAGGCATGCCCATACCCAAGACCGACGGCTCCTTCCAACAAGCCCTGTCACTAAATTCCATGCTTTTAACTGAAAAACACATGTAAGTTTAGAAACCAAATGACTAAAATGAACAAGTAAGCTCCAAAGGTCCCCATATTAAGGCAGAAATTCTTTCCAGGAAAATGCAGTGGCCTGGGTCATCGCCATGTGGGTTTGAATTCTGACGTGCCTGGCATGGGGCCCATCCAGGGGGAGTCAGCCCAAGATGACACGACACACATCTGTGGGAATAAAACTAAGGTTTTGCTATTATGTGGAATGGGACGGGCAGTAAAGTCAAGCTCCTGGAGAACAGGCAAAACCAAGCCATAGCAGGAAACCCAGAACATGGCCTGCCTCCTGGGGGTGGGGTGAGGGAGCTTTCTGGGGTGATGGTGAACCCTGATGGGAGTCCAGGCCACACGGATGTACATGCATTAGTCAGACACGGGATGTTTCCTCCAGATGTGTGTGTAAATATGAGGAGTGTACTGACTGTATACAGAGACTGTGTACAGACGGCTGTCTGCAAGGTGCTTTGAAATGCAGACACACAAGACGGACAGGCAAGTTCAACGGTCACAACAGACTCCAGATCCTTGGGACATGGGTACTGACTATAAAATACTTTCAATTTTTCTGTGTGTGTGAAAACTTCCATGAACAAAACAGTGAGAAAAGGAAAGGGGTGAATCGTTCATTCGCTTAAACCAAGGGCAGAAAAGTAAAGAAACATTGGCTTTAGGTGTCTGTCTAGCTTCCCACCCCCTCTAAGTTTGAGAATTCTTGAAACTTTCATGAGAAAAAGCATAAGAAACTTCTTTCTAGCATTTTAACAACAGGGGAAGCGTGGCGGGGAGGCAGCCAAGCTGTTTTTAGCTGCAAACATTCCTAAGAGCAAACACTGTGACGAAGCTCCAAATACCCAGGACCTAGACTCACAAATGTCATCCTTCTGCCGTTTGGCCTCAACCATCCTTTTCTTTGCTGACTTTTCAATGAGAGGCTCATCATCTTGACATTCCCGCTAAACAAACAAAGACACAGGAAAAATGTCTTTTCCAGCTCATGAAAAAAGTGGAAAATTTCTTACATCAAAATCAGCTGAGAGTGGATCAGGTATTTAATGTAAAACCTGAAGCCACAGAACCGAAGGAAGATGTGCGAGGGTGCTTATGCACCCAAAACAGGGAGGACCCTGAAGGCTCAAGAGCAGGGCTGGGCACACAACATCAAGGAGGGCGAACGGACCACGAGAGGTGAAGAGGCAAACGGCCCAGAAGGAGCATCCGCAGCCTCCACCAAGCGGCTCCTGCGCCTCCAAGCAGGAGTGATCCAGCAGAAAGAGCAGGAAAATCTCAGAAACGTGCGAAGGACAACGACTGCCGGAACAAAGTTTCATTCCAGCTATGACTTAAGAAATGCAAAAAGGGCAAAAAAACAATAAAAAACCCTCAGGCTTATAAATCCACATCCACATCATAACCTGCACACAGACACTCACAGCAGCCAAGGGGAAACACCACCAAAGTGATGGCACATCCATTGCTTGTCCATCAGCAAACACAGCACATCCACACCCTGTGATGTCACTGAGCAAGAAAAAGAAAGGAGGCGCTCATCCACGCTCCAGCATGGCAGAGCCATGAAACCATCCCACGTGAAGGAAGCCAGGCCCACGCCATTCCATTTATCTGAAACTTCCAGAGCAGCGGATCGACAGCGGCAGAAAGGAGATTAGCGGTTGCTCAGGGCTGAGGGGTGCGGGAGAGGGGAGCAGTCACCCTGCTGCTAATAGCCTCAGGGGTTCTTTGGGGAGTGATAACAATGTTTTAAAATTAGATTAAGGTAGGTTGCACAAACCAGTCAATATACTGGAACCTGCTGAACTGTACACTTTAAACAGGTGGTTTTTTATTGGCATCCAAATTACATCTCAAAAAAGCTATTAAAAAACCCCACAGGCAGACTACTGCATCCATGTGAATTCTGACCAGTATGTTGAGACCTGATGTAGCAAGCACAGGGTGGTGCGCAAGAGTGACGGACAGACAGACGGGGAAGCAGCCCAGCGTCGGGGAGGGTGGAGGGCCCTCACCACGACCCTCTCCCTGGGGTGACCCGCGGCCCTGGACCGGGAGCTCACACAGGCTTCCACAGGCTCTCAAACTGCTGAAATCACATGCTAAGCATTGGGTTTTTCTCTGGGAAGTACCCACAACTTCCATCAGATTTCCAAAGGAGCCAGAAAAATCAGAGAACGGCCAAGGCTGCCTGCAAAGGGCAGAGGAACCGCCAACCACCAAAAGGGCCATGTGCTTTCGTCTCTGCTTCAGCAAAAACCAACCAAGAGGACCCCACCCCTTTAGCCTAGGACACAGTCTGCCTGGACCTTTCAGGAACACACCTTCACAAAGTGATCTACCTTTATACACTGCCAAGTTCACACACTGCCTGCGGTTCACTGCCCGTGGTTCACACCCTGCCTGTTGGTCACACCCTGCTCGTGGTTCACTGCTCATGGTTTACACTCTGCTCGTGGGTCACACACTGCCCATGGTTCACACCCTGCTTGGGGTTCACACACTGCCAGGTTCACACCCTGCTCGTGGTTCAGTTCACACACTGCTCGTGGTTCACACCCTGATCATGGTTCACACTGCCCGTGGTTCACACCCTGCCCATGGTTCACACGCTGCTCGTGGGTCACACCTTGCTCGTGGTTCACACCCTGCCTGTGGTTCACTGCTCATGGTTCACACCCTGCTCGTGGGTCACTGCTCATGGTTCACACCCAGCTCGTGGGTCACACCCTGCTCGTGGTTCACACGCTGCTCATGAGTCACACCTTGCGGTTCACACCATGCCCGTGGTTCACACCCTGCTCATGGTTCACACGCTGCTCGTGGGTCACACCTTGCTCGTGGTTCACACCCTGCCCGTGGGTCACACCCTGCACCCTGCTCGTGGTTCACACCCTGCTCGTGGGTCACACCCTGCTCGTGGGTCACACTGCCCGTGGTTCACACCCTGCTCGTGGCTCATACCCTGCTGGTGGTTCACATTTACTTTTCTGCTGCATTATTTCCAGCTTAAACATTTCTATGTTAACGCCTCACTCCTGAGAGAACTTTTGAAAATAAGCAGCCACAGCGTCCACAGACCCCGAGTGAGTGGTCATGTCCCGCAACACGGAAGCGGGCACGGCCGGCAGCGCTGGGAACCAGGTTGACGCCAGGGGAGCAGAGCAGCGTGGGTGCACCCGGAGGCCTGGATCTCACGGCCCATCGTGGTGGCCTCGGGCAGTTCGTGCCGAAATTTCTTCCTAGAGACTGCCCATCCAAACGGATGAAACTACTTCCTTTAAGAAAGAATGTTGTCCTCCTGGTGCACTGCAGAGCTGGTGGTGATAAAACTTTCCACAGGGTGAAGCGGGGAGGAACCAAGCTGCGAGCCAGCACAGCGCCATCCCTGCCCGGCCTGTCCAGGACGCCAGGGTCTCAGAGGACACATGCGTGTGCAGCCCACCTGATCCTCCACCACGAAAGGTGCAGGCAGAGAGGGTCCTGGGCTGCCCCGCTGGAAGCCCCATCACGGCACACCTCACCGAGCAGACTGTTCCAGCCAGCGCCCAGTCTGCCCATTCTGGACCGGGACGGACAGCCTGCTTATGTTTCGTTTCCAAACCGAAGGCCTCGTGAGGTTTGAGGTCCTAGCTCAGAAACATAAAATGCAAAGATGACACAGGACACAGAATCTGAAAAGGCCAACTTTTCCTTCCAAACTTCCATGGCATTTTACAAACAATACAACGTCGAATCTGAAAAGGCCAATTTTTCCTTCCCAACTTCTGTGGCATTTTACAAACAATAAATCTACAACCTTTATTTATATCGTCTACCAGGGTACAGTTTCATGGCAGTAGTGTTTCAGGGAAGAGAGACCACATATTTGCACATCACACACCCTCAGGTAAATAGAGGGAAAGAGAGAGCGATTAAACAAACAGGGCGCACACAGTGGGCAAGGTGTAAACACGGGAGTTCCTGCAACTTTAAGTCTGAGAGAACAGTACAGAGTTAAAAGCAAAAATCTTCCAGTGCTGCTGGGCAAAGGTCTTGTTTTTTTGTTGTTGTTAAATAAACAACAGAACAAGTAGTGGTCAATCTTGCTTTTCCCAAGACCAGCTCTGGCTCATTCTTTCTGTGGCAGCAGCAGTCACCAACAGCGAGGATCTGAACTTATGACGGTCAGTCAAGAGTCACGGTCTACTGAGCCAGGCTGAGTCTGGAGCAGTAATTCTACTCTGCTCAGATTCTATGTGCAGAAAAATGCCAGAAAACCATCTTGGTGCAGTAGCTAATTTGTTTCCTAAGAGACATTCTTTTTATCTACTTAATGAAAGAATATGAAAGAGGAAAGGTAGATAATATTCTAGGAGCAAAAGAATTCCACAGCTTCAGTGCATTAACCCTCAGAGAGTTCTCTGTGCGTTCCCTCACCTATTTTAAGGGCCAAAGTTCACCAAGAAGAACAAAGAAATCTCTATACCACTTTGCCACGCTGGGCAGTATACACCCACTCTTCTGATGATGCCATCAAGACATCACATCTGGGGGACTTCTCTGGCGGCCCAGTGGTTAAGGCTCCAGGCTCCCAAAGCAGGGGGCCCAGGTGTGATCCCTGGGCAGGGAATGAGATCCCACAGGCTGCGACTAAGAGAGCCCATGCCACAGCTAAGGCCTGGAGCAGCCAAAAAAAAAAAAAAAAAAGCATCACATTTTATTCCAACAAAAACCTTTGAAAAATAAGGTGCCAAAAATCACTTAATAAACTTCAAGGAAACACATTAGTCACTGAATGGATTCAATCTGAGGAAGAGCCAAGACCCTTTCTAAGCACAACGGGTGGGGGTGGGGTGCGGAATCCTGTACATTTCAAACCAGATGAGTAATCCCTGCAGCCACAATTTAACAGCACAACTCGGCACTGGTGGGGATGCAGATTTAATAAATGCTTCAGTCATTCGAAAAGCCTAGTAGAATCCTTTCTCCTGTGAAGAAACTCCCTACAGGAAACGATGGTGTGTGAGGCTAAATGAAGGCGGCCAGTGTGGAGATGAGCAAGCGCTCGGGCTCGGACGCACTTCATCACCTTGACCGCACCCGCCGGCCCTGCACGGGGAGAGAGGCTTTCGCAGGAGACCTGGTAAGAGTCAAGTCCGTGGCAGCAGCCGTGAGTCAGGGACCCGCACTCGAAGAGTCCCGCTTCCAGCTGTCTCCTCATGAAGGGCCCAGATCCCAGCCTCCGGGGGCTTCCTGGGGGTCCAGACACCTCCCACTGCTGGAGGTGAGGGGCGCCCGAGGCGGACCCGAGACGGGAGGCCAGGGCCGGAGGGAGCCTGGTGAGCCTGGGACCCCGGTGGGCGCGAGAACTCTGCCGCTGCAAGCACCAGGTACACGGAAGTGACTTTTCTCCTGTGGGCCTTGCCTTGTGCTAACGGAGGTAAGCGGTGGGATTTACATCTGCGTTTGCTCCACACTGTGTCCCCGGCCTGGCATCTGACACAAGCACATTTGCTCGTTCCTGGTCTGCCTCCATTTAAACAGAGGGTCACGAGAGCAGGAACTGTCACTGCTGCGTCTCCACGGCCGGAACAGGGCTGGCACACGGCAGGTCCTCGGTGAACATTTATGGAGTGAACGAAACCAAGAGTGGACACGGGATGTCTCTTCACAACCACTCACTGAAACTCCCCCTTCGTAAGGGACACTAATGGGTAAAGGAGCATTCCAAAAGGGAATACCAAACCACGGTGGATGCAAAGTCGCTAACAGTGGAACATTCCAGAAGCAGATACTGGCATTGTTAATTCGGAGAAAACCCAATTTCCCCAACTGCATGCCCATGTGGATAATTAAAATGATAAAGAGCAAACCTCTCTCTGAATTCATACCCCAGAGTGACGGATTATGAGCATACTGACCTCAGTTCTCTGTAAAGAGAATTCTTAATGAGGTCAGGCCACAGGCAGGCTTCAGAGTTATCATCATGTGAAGAGACTATTTATGAACCACGTACATGAGAAAGGACTAGCATCGAGGGTATATAAAGAACTTTCAAAACTCAGCATTACAAAGTGGGCCAACACAAATAAGCACATGAAAAGATGTTCAACGTCATTAGCCGTCACGGAACACAAAGTAAAGCAGAGTGAGACGGCAGCGCACAGCTCCACCAGGACGGCCAAAACGAGACACGCCGGCCACACCCAGGGCGAGCAAGGATTCCGAGGGGCGGGCTCACCCATACACTACAGGCAGGAATGCAAACCGGCGCAGCCTCCCTGGAAAACAGCTCGGCACTTAAAAACAAAAAACCCCCACACCACCACAGCAGTCAGCAATCACACTTAGACATCAATCCCAGAGCAGTGATGTCACATCCACATGAGAGTCGGCAGCTCTAACAGCCCAAGACTTGAACCAGCCCACGAGTGCTCTGCCAGGCGATTCATTCTGGTGAGCCATGGTGTTCCACTTTGCAGTTCTCCTCTGCCTGCTAATGTCTCTTAGGAAGGGGGAGTTTCAGGTGCAGAAGCAGCTGGGCTGTGCCCGCATACAGAATTCCAGCAACAGAAAAGGTGGTGCTATCGACACCGAGCAGCTTGGGTGAACTTCCAGGGAAAGACTCTGAGTGAAAACAGCCAGTTCTCAAAAGGTCTGCTGTTGTTTAGTCGCCAAGTTACGTCCGACCCTTTTGTGACCCCATGGACCATCAGGGCTCCGAGGGATTTCCCAGGCAAGAACAGCAGAGTGTGTTGCCATTTCCTCCTCCAGGGGATCTTTCCCACCCATGGATCGAACCCACATCTCCTACGTCTCCTGTGTTGGCAGGCAGGTTCCTCACCGCTGAGCCACCAGAGAAACCCCTCAAAAAGCTACTTACTTCCATTGATGTAACATTTGCGAAATGACAGTCACTCTGGAATCAGAGGACAGGTTCCTGGCTGCCTGGGATCTGTGACTAGGGTGGGGGTAGACAGGTGTGGTTACAAAAGGGCAACGGAAGGACCCTGCGCTGTTAGAACCACCGGGCAGCTTCACTGTGGTGGATATGGGTATTCAGGCTGGGTGGGGCCACACACACGCACACACACTCTGACAACACACGTGCGCGCACGCACACACACACACACACAGAGATATGGGTGTTCAGGCTGGGTGGGGCCACACACACGCGCACACACTCTGACAACACACGTGCGCGCACGCACACACACATACACACAGATATGGGTGTTCAGGCTGGGTGGGATCACACACACGCGCGCGCACACACACACACACACTCTGACAACCTGCGCGCGTGCACACACACACACACACATGGATTGCACCCTGTCACCTTCCTGATTGGGATGCTTTACTGAACTTTTGCAGAATGTTATCACTGGGGGGAACTGGGAAAAGGGTAGAGGGACCTGGAGTATTTCTCACAACTACACGTAAACCTACAATTCCACTGATGTAAAAGTTAGGTATGTGCAAGTCAAAGTTTTTCATCTCATTTTCACTGGGGCAGGGCCTGTACCTACTACTATTTATTCAGCAAGTACTCTGTCTCTCTCTTTCATTCTTTTACACACACACACACACACACACACACACACAAAGAAACTGAGGTCCATGAAGTGATCTATGTAAAGTCACAGCAGGTGACTGAGAAAGGTGTCAAAGTTCACGGTCCTCCTGCAACCCCACAGGTCTCGGACACAGTTATGAAAACACAGTAAGATGCCAACTGGAAAAAAAATAAACCATTCCGAGGGGGGGTGTAAAATTTCAAATTCTGGAAGTCTTCCATGAGAGATACCTAAATGGTTTTATTGACATTTAAAAAGGGGGAGCATTACAAAGTAATATAGCATGATATCATGTATTGAAAAAGAGGGCCCATAAAACAAGCACTTCAAGTATTTCTACATGTACATTTATAAGCATGCAAATGCACACTTTGATATGATCTCGGAGAGCAAATACCGGCTGTTCACAGTCACAGCTGCCCCCTGGCAGTAAGGCTAAGGTGAAGGCAGATCCATGGTCAAGGGGTATCTGGATTTTAACCATTACGTTTCAATTAAGAATACAACCTAATTCAAGTATAACTTGTCTACTTTAAGAAAGGGGAAAAATAAAGCAAACACTTACTGCATTCATAGATCTGTTCCAGTTTATCCACAGAAGAAAGGGAGAAAAATTTATACCCGGATTTACTACCAACAGCTAGAGACCTGCAAAAAAGCCAAATTCAGAAATAAGAGCTGAGACGTGTAGGCAGGAATAATGCACAAACGAGCTCCTCGTTACCAAACTTTCTCCATCATCTCTCCCCAAAACCAGCACACACGGGTTCGTGTAGCTGGTACCAGGTGAGTGGTGGCAGAGGGGAAAAGAAGTGGGGCAAGGAAGACGCCGGATCTCACGGCCAGGAAAAGGCGACGGTCAACAAAGACAGAGAGTGAAACTTTAAAGATAAGTCTGACATAAAAATAAAAGCGCTCGACCCTAAACCAACGATCCCCTCAAACACAGTGGGGTTTCTCAGGTGACCCGACACACGTGCGTGGTTGTATGGGGGAGTCTGAAGGTGAAGATAACACTGCAAATTTTAAACAAAGGCATTTACACCCTTGGCGAATGATGGTGTCTCTTGGCACTGCAGCAGGCTATAACGAACACAGCTCAGTCATGTGATGCTAAGGCTAAGCAGTGGGATGGAAATAAAACAGACCAAAGAGCTAACTCACAGTCTGCAATGGCAAGACCACATCGCAGGGTTGGGCCAGAAGGACAACCTTGTGTGTAAGAGCCCACATTCACCACCCAACACCACTGCTTTTGCTCAGAGGCTTGGGAGGACTTCCGAGCTCTGGCTCCACATCCCCAGCGTGGCAGAGCTGCAACACGAGATGAGCTTCCCTTGCAGACTACTGCCGTCCAGGACGTGAGTGACCCAGGCAGCAGAGAGGAGCTGCAAGCATGGGTTTCAGAAACACAGAGGGCGGGAGCGCAGAGCGGGAAGCGGTGGGACAGGCGGACTCAGAGCGGGGCCTGCCTGGTACTTCATGTCTGGGAGAGCAAGGCAACAAGAGGAAGCAGAAGGTAAACCAGAAGCCCAGAAATAACAAGGCTGACAGCTCACACGATGAGTACGTGTGTGCCAAGATAAAACTAGGGCTATTTTCATGACCATTTCATCTACTAGAAACTTGAGATTTCCAACCTCTTTCACGCTCAGGTAGAAGAAACACATTCAAAGAACAGACTTGCTATGAACACTATTGGACTTTCAAACTGTAATTGGTTCACCCCAGAGATATAAACAGAGTAAATCTCTACCAACTCAAATAATTCTTCTCTGCAAAACACTTCACTATATTGAATTAACTAGTAATTAGGTACTGTTACCCATAAATACTTTGAAAAACAATAAAGGAGCCAATAAAAACACAAGAATATTCAGGAAAGCTAAAAATAAAAAAATCTCAGCAGTTCACAACTTCTGGAAAATTGATGTTCAGGAAAATGTTTTCCAGACAACTTAGGGTTACTATTTTAAGCACCCAAGCCTTTTCCCCCAGCATTTCTGATCCTCTTAAAAAGTCATTCTTATACAGGTTTCTGTGTGGGATGGCAAACCCTCAACAGCCGAGTGGACTCGCATCACAGAACAAGTGTACTGTCAGAGTGAAGTGACCCTCAGACCCTAACGGGAGCTGAGGGTTTGGGCGGCGGACGGTCGTGCTGGGCGACACACCACCTTTCACCTTTTCCAGTACTGCTCTCCAGGCACCCTACTGGCATTAACAGGCCCTCCTTCAAATTTCTTGTTGACCTGGAAAGCAAGTCACCAAGCTTCATAGTTTTATATGTAAAATAAGCCCAGGGGGCTTCTTCTATGGGCAAACTTAACCAAACAGAATTAGTGAATGAGAACCTGGATTTTTATATACCCAGGGCCTTGCCTGTGCTCCAAATGGCAGAATTTGTTACAACTGATCAAATACTTGCTCTCTGACATTCTTCCAGATGCTCAGAAATGGGTTTAGGGCACTAAACACCTTCGCTAGTTTTCACTGCATGGCTTCCCGCTTGTGAAGCCCAAATCAGTGGGGATGTAAACAAAAATACACCACCTGTTTTTGATAGGTGCGTGTGGTACAGTGTGAGCATACACTTTACCAATAAAGGCAGACACCTTTAAAGGATGGCATGGAATATAAACAGGTGTGATATTTACATCTCGGATACCAGCAGTCAGGTTCACGGACCTGACTTTGTGGAGATTCTGCTCTTAACAACACCTCTGAAGACAGCGTGGGACAGGTATGGTAACAGACAACCATGAGAGTTCCCTGACAACTAATCTCATTCGCCACTAAGTGTTGCCGCAGTAAAGTTTTTGTTTTGTTTCTTAAGGTAATAGAATGAGATCTTTTACCGACAAAGGGAAAACCAGCGATAACAGAAAAAAGGATATATTTACTTAACACCCCATTTCACTACCACACCCCTGCCTTCACCTGTGCCTGGTGTCAACATCTGGAGACCCTACGGTACCCTCTGGAGATAAGGCCCAGTCCTTCACCTTTGGGGGCAGGAGACAGCCACTGCTTCCGAGACACACTTTGGGCCAGCACTCTGGATCTTCGCCACACAAAACTTTCCTCCACCGCAGAGCTTCCTAGACCACCCGACCTGAGCCTTTGGGGGTTCTGCGGGTTCAGGTAGGCTGGTTCTCTGCCTTTCCCACCAGTGATGGAGAAGCTACTTCCTTTATTCCTTGCTGGTTTCCAAAATTTTGTTGCTGGTGCCTTTTTTTCTCATTCTCCTCATTCCATGGGCTTAAGCCTCTTTAAGTATCTTTTTCTGGTATTTTACTGATTGCCATTCTATCACGGTTCTGAGAGGGAGCCAAAATTAATACTTGTGTTCCATCCACCATCTTTACCTGCAGATCTCTGTCACTGAATTTAAACTTGATTGATCAGTATTTAAGGCAGGGATTTCCACTAAAAAACAAACATGTTTTTTAAGAAAACATTTAAAAAAGGTTTTAAAAGAAAAAAATCATTTTCTTAATGCTTTTTTCTTTATCCCCTTACCCACGATCAGCAAGCCCACTAATGTTTTCCCTTTTCATTATCTTCACCAAAGAGCCACACTCAATGATGGGGTAAAGTGGAAATGGCTCACATCCATAAAAAGGAAGCAACCTTAAGTGCTGCTGAGAACTGGCAGGCCCCAGAGCCCACCGCAGTAAGCCCCTGTGTACCCCAGACCTCACCCGGACCTCCCTAAGGCCTTTCAAACTCAGTAATATCCAAAGCAGAGTTCACCTTCCCCCTAAACTGAAGCCCCCTCTGATCCTTCTATAATGTGCTGCCACTGTTCATCTCAGACCCAGGCTGGAGATGTGGGAGGGACCTTCACTTCTCCCTTAGGTGCATTATGTACCTCCCGTGGGTCACACCAAATCCCATTAGCTCCCCAGTAGCTCACCGCTGGCCACTGCCGCTGGACAATATCCTCCCTAGTGACTGCCCTGGTTCCTCAAAACGCCCTCCACACGTGGGCAGAACCACCAAGAACTTCAAGGTCAAAGGGTCCTTACTCCCACGCCCCTGGACCTACTGATGAGGGAAAAGGAGAGAAGTGACCTTCCAGGACAGCTGATATAACCTAGAAACACCCCGGTCCAAGGGAGCAATAAACTCAGACCAATAAACTCCCTACTGCCTCTGTGCCCGTAACTTAAGACACGAAGAGCATCAATGCTACAGACGGAAGATAAGGGAAGTCAAGTCTGTGTCCTTCTATTTCTTTGAGGAATGTGGTTTCTAAATGATTCGGCCACTGCCCAACCACTGAGTCTGCACATGCTTCATGGGGTCCCCTGCAAGTGCTTAGTCCCTGATATTTCCATTGAAGAGCCAAGCGATACTCCACACCTATTAGTTTCTTAATTTTGCTGTCAAAAAAACAAAAACTCCTCCAAAACAAGCCTTCCAAAGGGTTACTTTCAGAAACCAGGATTGGAACTAACCAAACAAGAAGTGGGAGATGACAGGGACCATCTTCTCTTAATTCCTTCCCCCTAGTTCTAGTTAAAAAAAAAAAAAAGAAGGTAAAATAAAATAAAACATCCAGACTTTTAGGATAAAAATCACAGGAAAAAGAAAAACAAAACCCTTACAATATTTGAAACCATATTACTACCGCAGACAGGACAGATACAGTTTCATATGAAAGGAATATTGCTGTTCAGCATTACTGTATAACACACAATATATTTTCTATTAAGTGAAGTGGTTCCAGATTTTCTTACTGAATACCATGAATGTGGATCCAGTAATCCTTGCCTTCTGAAAAATTACTGGACGTAATTACGTAATAACGTAAATACTGGAGACGGGGCAAGGGAGGGAAAGGCGTGAATAGTCCAGCCTCTCCCCAGGTGTACACTGACAACAAATTAGTCACTTTAATCAATAAACTCTTAGTGTAATCCTAGCTTACTATTCCTTATAATTTCTGCTCATACTCTATCAAGGTCTCTTTGGCAACTCAAAACTATGATGCAGCAATCTAGTCTTGAACTAGTAACTTTAGGACTCACAGAGGAGTGGGAAAAACAAATAATTTCTAAGCACAAAAAGATCTTATTTCAGGTCAGAGTGACATTCTTCTATTATATAGGGAAATTCGTGTTTGAATGCCACTTGAAATGACAGCAAAAGAGAATGCTTTCTCATATCTGATTTCCTTTCAATATAAATGGTGAGCAGTGAAAAACAGGAAGAACAGTAGAAAATATTCTGGAGATTCTCTAATTTATACAAGACATAAAAAACCATAAAGCTACCATTCTTACTGGTCTCAAAATACTAAGGGCTTAAAAACGGAATCATCATTGGTTTGAACTGCCCTCTTCCCTACCCAGATTAGTATAACATAGTTCTCAGTCACAACCCCCTGCAACAGGTGGTCCAGATTGCTTTCCCTGGAGTGGCTTTTGGTCATCATGCTAACCCTTCGCCTTTTTCATCTCTAAAGATCGCTACAGTCTGCTTTCTGTGTTCACCGTCCTCCATACCCTACTCTGCAGGTACAAACAACAGCAGGGTGGATTGGAAAGGAGGCTGGAAGAGAACTCAGGAAAGCTGCCCCCACCCCACTATTAACGGAGTCTAGACCCAGGCTCTGCTCCGAAGTTCCTGAACTTCCGTTTCCTCCTCTGAAGTTGGCACAGGTGATCTGCTCCCTTCAAGCCTCATCCGAATCCCACCGTGGGGGGCTCTGCACTATTTTCCCAACTCTGGAAGGTGTGACTGAGCACCCTCTGCATGCCACTGACTTGGTGCCTTGCCATTCTACAAATGACCTTTCTTTTGCTGATTCCATTGAGCCAGGAACAACTCAACCTACTACTTAGTATGAAGCCAACGACCCACTCCTCCCCTCTTACATCACTTCCTCTTACTCACTTCCCAAGATGGCTCTCCTCCCTTCCAGTCCCACTCATCCTTCCTTCTCCAGAAACCTCCTCTAATAACTATCCTCATACATTCCCCCAGGAGACAGCTCTGAAGAATCGGCTTCAAACCCGTCAGGGTCTGGACAAACAGCGTGAGGAACCAGGGGTTGGCATCAAGGGCCTCTCTTCCCGTACGAGGATGGCCCATTCCCCGAGGCTCCAGGACTCCTCAGGGGTTTTTCTGGTACAGCCCTCCCCTTGGCTAGTTTCTCCCCGGGTCAGAGACCAGAATTACTGCTAAGTTTGTTTCTTGCTCGAGGAGGACATCAAGGTTTCCTGTCAAAAAGAACAGCAAGAGAGGAAAAAAAGGAAATAAGAGGAGTTCCCTTAAGACGAGGAGGAGATGAGGAGAAGAGCCTGGAAGAGCGGAAAGAGTGGGGCAAGAAGGCTGACGAACAAGGCGGGTGGAGGGAGGCGGGATGCAAGGGAGAGACCCACCCCCACCCCCCACCGCTCCAGAGATGGTTGGGACAACAGGTCAGGCCACAAAGTTCGGGCCCAACTTGGCGAAAAGTGAGATGGAAAAGACAAAGCCTTCTTGGAGATGGGGAAAAGAAAAGACCTCCCCTGGCTCCATCCCTTTCCCCGCCCAGAGGTCGCAGCTCCCAGGGCAGAGCCTGGAGGGTTCCCCAAGGAAGGGGGACCCGCCGGGGGTGGGGGGACGCCTCCGCCCTCCCCGGGCTCCAGGCCCCCTGGTTCTCCCGGGACCCCGACCCCCGACCCCGCCCGTCCTTACGTGACGTCCTGGTTGAAGTTGGCGAAGAGCAGCTGGCTAGCGCCGGCCTCACCGCTCTGACTCGCCAGGTTCATGGTGGGCGCGCGGCCCGCGGGCCCGGCCGAGGGCTCGCGCGCGGGTGGGGCAGGCCGGGGTGAGCTCAGGGTCGGCGCCGGGCCCCGATCGCCGCCTCGCTCGCCGCCGCCGCCGCTCGCCGCCTGGGCATTAACCGCCGCCTCATCCCGGCCCCCCTCTTGTTTATGCTCCGGAGCCGGGGTGCCTGGCACGCCTGCGCGGCCACGCCCCCTCGTCGCACGGCCTCTTACGGCGCAGGCGTGCTGCGGTGGTCCCGCCCCTTCACTTCCGGTCCGGGCCCGGGTTCCGGTCGAACACGCACACGCGTGGGGACGCGCAGGGGGCCAGGCTTGCGGTCACGTCAAGGGCTGCGCATGCGCGTTGGAAAGAGTAGGCGCTCCGTATCCTCCGCCCCCATCATTTTTTTGTTAGTATTAAAAGGGGCCTGCCGCCGCGTGCCAGTCATTGTGCTAAATGCGTGCGTTCTCTATTGGTGCTTTAGTAACTCTCCGTATAGCCTGTTGCATTGTCGTTTTACAAATTTGAAAACTGAGGCTCGGAAATATTAACTTACCAAGTGTTAAATCCGAGAACGGTAAACCCCACGTTTAGGAGCCCTGGAGCAGATTCTACTTAACACGTCTTGATTCATTTAGTAACATTTAGGGAGCGCTTTCCATGTGAGCTAAATAGTCCTTTTCTTTTCCCTCAGCGAAGGCACAGTGGGAGAGATTCTTAAAGACCTTTGCAAAGCTGGGATTCCATGAGATCACGTAAGGAGGTCCCTTAACCTAGCCTCAAGGGAGGGGACTGTGCAGCCCCAGAAGCCTTCTTAGAGATGAGACCTGAAGTTCGAGTAGCAGGTAACCAACCTAAGAAGTGGAAGCATTCCGTATGGCAGAGGTCCACGGATGAGAGTGTGACCTCACCAAGGAACTCTATGCTGTGTGTCTGAGCTTGTAGTGGGACAGTGGACACGACACAAGATTTGGCTTGAGAAATAGGAAGTGGCCAAATCAGATTGGGTGTTTTTTTTTTTTAATTTTTATTTTTTTTCATTTAAGATTGGGTGTTAAGATACATTCGGCAAGAGGATTTCCTTGGTGGTACAGTGGGTGGGAGTCCGCCTGCCAAGGTAGGGGACACAGGTTCGATCACTGGTGCAGGAGGATTCCACGTGGCTGGGAGCAGCTAAGCTGGAATGCTGCAACTGCTGAAGTTCATACCTGTGCGTCCCCAACAAGAGAAGCCACCTCAATGAGAAGCCTGCACGCTGCAAGGAAGAGTAGCCCTCACTTGCCGCAAGTAGAGAAAACTCAAGTACAGCAAGGAAGACCCAGTGAAGCAAATAATAATAATAGATAAATTAATTTAAAAAAACCAAACAAGAATTTTAGAAACTTTAGGCAAGAGACTCATCTTTGTACCAAGAGCAATATGCCACTATTGAAAATACAGGATGGTGTGACTAAGTGTGTTAATTCTAGTCATGGAAACAAGTGCCTTGAAAATCACTGGGGTGAGTACAGCAGTTATACTTCAATTTAAAAAAATAGGGAAAAATTTTAATCTAAAAAAGAAAGGAAGAAAGAAAATCACTGAGGAAAGAATGGTCTTTTCTATGAAAGATGCAGACTCTGCCCCATCCCCCCACCTCACCATACTCAAGCATTCATTTGAGGTGGATGGAAACCTAAATGTTGAAAGATAAGACAATAAAGCTGCTAGAAGAAAACATAGGAGAGTGCCTCAGTGTCTCTGATGTAAACAAAGTCATCTAAACAAGTACTTTAAAAACTACTAACCATGGGATAAAAAGTTGGTTATCATAACTAAGAACATCTCGTCAAAAGAGATCATCAAGAGAGGTTGGAATGGGATACGTATATTTGCAATCCATATCTTTTGACAAAGGACTTATTTCTAGAATATTTTGGAGAACCACAAATTAATGAGGAAAATATGGATGACTCATTTTTATTAATGAGTCAAATACTTGAGCACAGACACTTCACAGAAAATGGCATCAAAATGGTGAGTGAGCACCTGAAAAAGTGGTCATCATTGACACTCATCAAGAAAATGCAAATTAAGAGCAAATAGGAGACAACCAACCATCTGCCAAGTTGGATAAAATGGAAAGAACTGACAGTGGCAAGTTCAGGCAACAATGTGGAGCAGTTGGAACTCTGGTACACTGTGAGTAGAACCCAAATCCTTACAATTACTTTGGAAGACTGTTTGACAGTGTCTACAGAAGTTATACATACATATTCCCTATGATTCAGCCATTTTACTTCTATGTATATACTCAGTAGAAATGAGTGCTCTTCCCCCAGAAGACAGGTATAAAAATATTTATAGCTGCTTTAATCATAATAATCCCCAAACTGGAAATAACCCAATCATTCTGCTATAACTGAATGAATAAGTAAATTGTGGTGCATTCATATAAAAGAATACTATGCAGCAATGAAAAAGACATATACCCATGGATAATCTCACAGATGTAACATTGAGTGAGAAAAGCCAGACACAAAAGAATATATACACGAGTCCACTCATATGAAGTCAAAAACAGGCAGCGTAGTGGTTACTTCTGGTGGGGAATTGCTTGGGAGGGGGCTGAAGGAGCCAGCTGAAGACGTTTTAGTGGTTGGCCGTATGGACATATACATATGTAGGTGTGCATGTATGTGTATGTGTACATATGTGTAGGTGTATGTAGGTGTACATGTGTGTATGTGCGTGTGTTAGTCACTCAGTTGTGTCCGACTCTTTGCGACCCCATGGACTGTAGCCCACCAGGCTTCTCTGTCCATGGGATTCTCCAGGCAAGAATATTGGAGTGCATTGCCGTTCCCTTCTCCAGAGGATCTTCCCGACCCAGGGATCAAACCCTGATCTCCTTCATTAACCGTTTGAGCTACAGGGAAGTCCTTATGTAGGTGTGTTAATGTATAAATGTGAATGCCCATCAAGATATAGAGCAGAATCAACGTCTTCAGGTGGTTCTGTGTTAGTTGGCACAGTTTCTTTTGGTCCATTATTATTGAATGAAGGCACACAAAGGGGTCCCCAAGTGAATCCCTGGGTTTTAGACAGCCCTTGACTTCACCTTGAAATGCCACCCGATTTCCCCTTGTTCGTCAGAATCTATCAGTCCATTCAGGGTAGTAACTCCTTCTCTCTCTACTGGTTGGGCAGGTGGAAATTCCCAAATGCCCCAGGAGTTGACTGTTTCCAATCTACCAGAACCATGACTGTATTCCCTGGAGTGATAGGTGACTGAATCTCAAAATATAGTGGATGTAGGGTTGTGTGATGGAAACAGAAATTTCTTTTTTTTGTTTTTTTTTTAACCTTTTAGAAATTTTTATTGAAATGTAGTTGATCTACAATGTTGTTAATTTCTTCTGAACAGCACAGTGACTCAGTTATACATATGGATGTTCTTTTTCATACTCTTCTCCATGATGGTCCGTCACAGGATATTGTATATAGTTCCCTATACAATGGTATAGTGCTATACCATAGGACCTTGTTGTTTATCCACCCTGTATAAATAGCTTGCCTCTGCTAAGCCCAGACTCCCAGCCCTTCCCTCCACTGCGGGCAACCCCTCCCCCCAACTTGGCAACCTCAAGTCTATTCTCTGTATCTTTGAGTCTGTTTTGCTCAGTTAGTCATGTCTGACTCTTTGCAGCCCCATCGACTGTAGCCTGCCAGGCTCCTCTGTGCATGGAATTTTCCAGGCAAGAATCCTGGAGCCAGTTTCCATTTCTTACTCCAGGGGATCTTACTAACCCAGAGATCGAACTGCCCATCTCTTGAATCTCCTGTACTGGCAGGCAGATTCCTTACAACTAGCGCCACCTGGGAAGCCCTGAGTCCGTTTTGGGGAAACAGAAATTTCTTAAGTGAATAATTAGATGTAATCTGTAAGAAAACACTACCGCCTCCTTCTAGTTTGCAGCCGTGAATGGTGTCTTGTTTTTGTTTTTGGCCATGCCTCTTGGCTTGCAGGATCTTAGTTCCCTGACCTGGGGTCAATCCAGTGCTCCCTGCAGTGAAAGTGTGGAGTCTTAACCCCTGGACCACCAGGGACACCCCTGTACTGTGTGTTGTAGAATGACACCTGGGCCTCACAGGGCGTGGTCTCTTAGCTGGCACCACAACTGAACCTTCAGTGAAGCCATCCCACCTTGTATTGAGTAACAGGGCACATGCTAAGGGTGGTGAATTCCAAGGGCATGAGCCCGTTGCCAAGCTCCCTTCACCTAAATGGAAGGGATTTGGTCAGAAGACGTGTGGTGTGGACACCTGAATAACTGTATTGAAAACAGTAGCCTCCACCCTTCTGCATATTCCCCATTCCTTTCATTGTGCTATATTTCTATTAACATATATTATAGAAGGCTGCGTGCTGATGCTTTTGAATTATGGTGCTGGAGAAGACTTTTGAGAGTCTCTTGGACTGCAGGGAAATCAAAGCAGTCAATCTTAGAGGAAATCAACGCTGAATATTCATTGGAAGGACTGATGCTGTAGTTAAAGATAGAATAGTTTGGCCCTTGATGTGAAGAGCTGACTCATTGCAAAAGACCCTGATACTGGGAAAGACTGAGGGCAAAAGAAGGGGGCAGCAGAGGGTGAGATGCTTAGATGGCATCACTGACTCAATGGACAGGAGTTTGAACAAGCTCCAGGAGGTGGTGAAGGACAGAGAAACCTGGTGTGCTGCAGTTCATGGGGTCTCAAAGAGTCTGACACAACTCAGCAATTGAACAACAATAATAGCTCTTATCTCGTCCAATATGTCCAATAACCTTCCCTCCCAACCAGAACACATGCTCCATGAAGGCAGAATTTTTGTCAGTGTTGTTTACTCTTTTCCCATTGCTTACAGCACTGCCTGGAGAGCTAAATTCTAGGCCTCCAATCCTGGTGACAGGGATGAGCTGAGGGCTCACCCAGCTTCTGTCTCACTGCTTTATTATCTGCGTGGTATTCAGACACC